TTTGTGAATGCATGCGTGCTACTCAACTGGTTGTATTGCTCCCCAGTGATTTTTCCCTGTATGTTGAAGAAAGACTTTTATTTACTGGCGAGATCTCTGAAACACATCTCTAAATGTGGTGGCATTGTCAAGAATAGACTCGCATATTCTATCATGGACAGATACCTACAAGCATGCGAAAGTTTCACTGCCAAAATACCCTCAGACAATCATCACCCATAACACAACGAATTTTCAAAAGCTGTAACTACATCATCCACACGCTCGAGATTGAAACTTTTATTTGCACGTACCCCTACTTATTGTAATTCTGTTCTGCCCTATGTAGCACGTCTGCTTATTGACAGGGAGAAAATTTCCATAGAATTGCGCAAATGCTTGCTTCATTGACAAACACAATCTACTGCCTTCAGTTTCCTTATGTAATGATTTTATAACTTTGAATCCACACATATGATGTAAATGCTGAAAATTCAGCCATTCAGTTACTTAAAGCTACTACTGACTGACTTGACTTAATGCATAGACATAACACAAGCATCAGGTTATCATGTAAGACTGGGCGGTAGGAGGTATACGTTCCAGTTAAGTGTGTATTTCTTGCGTTTCTGTTCAGAATTGTATCATCCTTATACTTGGTTATTATCATCACCATTTCAACACCAGCTTGGACTGTAAATTACAGTTGTAAGAAGGCAGTGGGTGAATGCAATTTATTACATTGTCCAAGAGAACAGTTACTGTCAGTCACATATCACAATGAAAACTCACCAGGATAAGATTTTAGATACCATATGTGTACATTATCTACAGTTCACTACGGTTAATGAATAAAGCACTTCGCTGAGCCTAGTCCACCGAGTAGTGGGAGTGACAGCTCCGTTTGCCGCATTACATGATTGGTCTTTTTGAAATAATTCGAGAATTCCATCTGAGGTTTAACATACTTTTTTCTACCTGTGGAGAGCACGTCTTCTAAACTCGTCCAAATGGCATTTGCTGTTTGGGCACAGACAATATGCAAGTGCCATACACCAACAAAACCGCATAAACACATATCAACTTTGTTCGCAAGGACAGAGTTCCTGCTATCTGCATGACGGCAAAGTTTCGTCCGTTTCTAATAAGTTCAGGTTTCAGTCCGAAAAGAGATACCGTTGAGGCACGCACGTTAAATATTTCCCCCATATGAACCACTAGTTTAAAATTGTCAGATGTGTTCAATTTCTCTTTGTGTATCATGGCAACCATTTGATTCTCCCTTTCTGAAAATTGCATCATTCGATATATTCAATAAAAAGGAAGTAAAAAAGAAATACCTCAGTACAATTCCGCATCTCTTACTGGTCCCGAATTCGCCGGTTTGGCTCATTATTAATATTAATAATAATATTAAATAACTTGACTAAAATAAAAGAGGCAACTATAAATAGTGAATGGTCATATCTTTTGACCGAAATGTGATTCTGATGTATGAGCAGATGAGATGGGCGTACGAGAAAAACGTGGTAATCATACCTAAATCTGATCCCAATTTTTTTGTTTATTTTCCTGATTGTCAGTTCAGATTCCATTGCTGCAAAAGTAAACGTATTTACTAAATGTGAACCAAACTTCATATGCGAGAAGGCAAGAATATTGCCACTCAGCCATGTTGTTTGCCCTAAAATCACATGAATAGGAATATATAGCATTGATGAAATGACAGGGCAACGTGACACCCCTATTTGGAGGACTGTGATATCCCTTTACAACACTTGTCTTGCTTTTGGTCTTCATTTGACATTCAGCCATTACCTGACTCATCCTCAGAGGTCAGTGGTTGTACATCCTGTTAATCCGCTAAACATTTAGCTATTTGGAAACCATCACTCTCATGTTATTCTGGTCTAAAGCTCACTCAGTCAACGGTCAAGGATTTAACATTCTCGGGTTGGAGAAAGAACGGTCAAACAGCACCCGACCTAGGATTTCATTCAAAACGTACTTCAGTTTGTCTATGGAGCAAGAAGTCCATACTGACTGGATGGAGTTTTGATAGACCCTGTCTTATTGGTGAGGCGTGACGACTGAAGAACACCAATAACATAGTGGGGTTCACAGCAGAATGCGATTGGGTGGATTCACTTGAAGTTACGACGTTTTTACGGTATGTTCAAGCTGGTATGACGTACAGATAATACGCTGTCATTTAGAGTAAAAAGTTACGGTTACCTGTTGTTTTTCTGTGCAGTGACCTCACTGCAACGCACGTGAAAAATAGCGAAGGAACTCTTAACACGCCGAGAAAAGCGTGTGGATTCGATCATGGGGTGAAATTCTCTCTTTAATGCGGCAACCTGAGCTTCAACTGAGAACCTAAATGCATTGCACAGCTGTTTCAATATGACATAAGCGTCGTCATGGAGATAAAAATCGAAACCGGGACCGTTTGAGTGAGGTGAAGAAGTGATAGTATCAACTTGAACAATAAATAACAGAACATGCAATTGTTTATGAGACACATTCACCTATGCGAGCTTACAGGTAGCCGTTGGCCTCCTTTCTCTAACCGCGTCTATTCAAGGTTTAACAGTCGGAAACATCTCGAACCTGATCACTCGGCACAAAATAGTAGTGTCAACAGTAATTCAATTGTACGACCAAGTTATCCGGATGCGAACTCTAACGGAGTGAATCGATATGCCCGAGGGATTATCACCAGGTGGACGTTGCCAAACTCACATTATTTCCTAGCTTACCGCTCTATATTTTCTTGACTCTTTCAATAAACAATTTGTTGGACAATAAAAATTTTTTTCATAATGACCGGTACCATCCCATTCACTGAGACATCAAAAAGAAGTCCGATAATAAGATTGTAAAAGCATTCCTCTTGGGGATCATTTGTTACTGGGAAGTAGTCACTGAAAGCTAGTATTAGCAACACTGAACCACAGCAAGTATTTCACAGACAGAACTATGGTCTCGTTTGATTGGTACACACCTGAACATACAGTTCGGTATGCAGTGCGCCTAAATTCATAGGGGGGGGGGGTTAGGGGACTGAATGATCACA